CAGTAATTTCTTGTACCTTGTACTATATTCATATATAAATAATAGCATGGTCGACTGGCAAGTACAGTTCGACATTCATTGCATTTCAGAGGTTCTCTTCTCTTCTTTGCTACTTCGAGTACAGATCCTAAGATTACACACAACATTGAGTGCTTCCATGGGCTATATAAGTTCTCAACTTAGTATTGAGATTGTAATTTTCCCTTCTTATCAGCAACAAGGTCAAAAGCATTTGTTATCAATTGTGAAAAGATGAAGTTACACTCCTCCCCATTGGCCAGGAGTTTAGACCTTGATACATGGAATTTAATCCCTGCTCCACCTGTGGCCAGTCTATCTACAATGGAATTTTCTAATTTTAGGAACAATTTGAATGAGCTATACATCCTGGTAGTCAAAACCTTACTTGTTTGTAGAATGTCAATGGTGCTATTGGACATCAGTGAATCAGTACACTCATTCCATGACGTTAAGAAATCTGCTTCAGCCTACACTTTCTCTGTTCTCAAACAGTAATCAACTCTGACTCCCTTTGGGATTACAAAATATCTGAATTTCCCTCGTCGATGGACACCAAAACATCACCATGGTCTCTTCACCGTAATCCCTCTAGATACCTCTCCCACCCTTCACTGAGGATTATGCCCCTGCTTGTGGTGCTTTTCCTTTGAGTTTGTTTGAAAATTCAATAATAGCTTGATATTTTACCTCAGGACTTGGACGAGAGAGAGCGAGAGAGCGAGAGAGAGAGAGAGAGAGAATTTTCAGGGAAAACTAGTTGTAGACTTAACCCTCCAATGACAGAACTACTAAAATATCCCGAATTACTGAACAGTTTATTAAAATGCTCTTTTCCACTAGTTTTTCTGCATTACTATATCTTGTGTTAATAAAGTAGGAAGTGTAATATTAGACCACTATTGATGATTGTCTTATGGTGCTTGCTTTTTTAGATTTTTCCCTACACTTGTAGCCTTTTGAGCAAGTATCTTTTTATATATGCCAGAGAATTATTAGAGGAAGTTCAAACCCAGAAAACACATTCAAATGGCACACAAAAATGAAGTAAAACAAAGATGAGAAATCAGAGCACACACAGATTTGCGTGGTTCAGCTTATAGCCTATGCCCACGGGTGAAGGAGGAGCGGAAATCCACTATATAAAACAGCAATGGAGATTATAGTGTTGAGCAAACCCTCTCTTTCAGAAACCCTAAACCCCAATACAACCTGGACTCTCAAAAACTTAACTTCTTTTCAAAGCCAAAGATATATAAAGAGAAGACCCCAAACAACATAACATAAAATTCAAGACACAAACATAACATATATCATAAATGCTCCAGAAGCCTACATAAGGTTCAAATTTTGTTTATGTATCAGCCAATACGATCGTCAGCAATACACTTATTTTAAGGTATTATTAAAAACTGTTTGTTTTATATATTAAATAATGTTATTCCCCTCCCCTGTGAAATTTTGAAACTAAAAAGAATATATAAGCACAATGTTCAAAATCCCGATACACCCCTTTCCACTGTATCGGGGTGTATCGAAATTTTGAACCTTGATCCTATGTTTTACTATCTCTATTCTCCTGAAGTATTTGTTTAGTTTCACCTAGTCTAAACAAAAATTGGGCAACAAGGATGGCACAGTTGGCTTCTATTTGTTCCAAAGAAGCATTTAGCCACTATTCCACTTCCATAGGCTGAGCATATTTCCTTTCTTCTATTGCATATTTTTGTTTCTGTATCACTAGTTTGTAAATACTAATTTAGCAGTACATATATTTTCCATGCTATAATTTTATATGGGAGTGGCAAGTGAGTTTAGTAGTCAGGTCATTTAGTGAGCTTTCTTAAACAACCAAGTAACCTTTCATGTGACAAACTAGTTTGGAGCTCAAAGGGAGTCTTCAAGTTCCTCTCCCCATTCTCAGTTCATGAAAAACATTTAGGCCTAATACACCTTGTGTGCAAAATAAGCCCACTTTTGTAGGTATGTTTTATATTAAAAAATTAAAATTTTGGAAGGACAATATTAATTGTTAAAACCACAATATAATATGGGCTATATGATAGATATGAACTATGGGATTGAACATGTGGATAATCCAAGGGATTCCCTATTTGATGGACAGTCTAGATCTGTCACAAGATCCTTCAATGTTCCAAAAATGTATGGGTTTGCCATTTGCGTAGGGAAGAACATCCTTATTTGACCGAACTATAGGACCTTTTTCCAGTTTATATAACTATATTAATTTAAATATTTGAGGCGGTTTTCATTTTGTCTCACATTTCCAAAATGGAAAATCACCATTAACCTGCCAACCAATTTCTATAGACACAAACCTTTAAGCTACCTGCAGTTTGGTTTCTAGTCAAACTTGTTGGTGCTGTATCTTTTGTTTCTGGCCAAAAAATTGTCAATTGTAGAATGATATTAGTTCATAAAATGCATTCTGGTTTGTCTTTTAAATTTGATATTTTCCAGTTATGGATCAAGTTTAGTTGGGACTTTTTTTTGCTTATCATTAAATATACTAATTTCTGGTTGACCCTTTTGAGAGTATATAATATTTGGCTGTTATATAGGATACAGACTGCCACAGTTCTTTACATGTTTCAAGATTCATAATTTTTCATTTATTTTCCACATTATTCCTTATTATTCTTTTGTACTCGTGATGTTTTTCATTTCTTTTCATCTTGGTCTTGAATTTTTTTTTTTTTAATTTTGTATTCTGTTCAGGTTGTCTGAGGATACAGCCTGGCACCCTGTTTGGAGAGAAGAGTTTGATTCATCACCAGCTTTGCGCAAGGCAATCATATTTGGATATGGACCATTCAGGCCTTGGATGTCTATAGCTCACTGGTATAGTAGTTATTTTCAGACAGTATTAGTTGAATGAGTAAATGCAACAACCACATTTAATGTTCTGCTTTCTTGTCAAAGGTTTAAAAACTATTTTGGAAGTGCAAATATTTCTTTTTTTTGGTAATTGAAGTGCTAATGTTTCAATATGATACTCCTGTCTCTTAACATTAATAAGCATCCAAATAGGTTGATCTGGCACTTCGATTTGAGAAAGTTCAGACCAAGTGAAGTTAAAAGGGTGAAGATAAGCTTGGCTTGTGTCTTTGCATTTATTACAATTGGATGGCCCTTGATAATCTATAAGACGGGGGTGATGGGATGGATCAAGTTCTGGTTGATGCCATGGCTAGGGTATCATTTCTGGGTATTGCTTCTTGATCCCTTTATTTTCACAGTTCTTTGAATTATTTTGATGTTAAGGAAATATAGGTTCTTGTCTTAAAGTAGGAGATAGGAAACTCCCACCAGTTATACCCCTTCATTTGGTGTATTGGCCTTTGAAGCTGTGATCCACCTTACAAGGTGCCCCACCTATGTTCTGTAACTTTGATCAGTCAATGGTTGTCACTTTCTTCTCCTTAAACCATTGATTAAAAAAAATTCTCCCTTAACTTCTATGGGCCACCGGAAAAAAAAAATATATCACAGTTTCAGAAAAAGGTCTTTTCAGAAACTCCTACCAGTTATATCACTTTATTTGGTGTATGACCTTTGAGGTTATGATCCACCATTCAATGTATCCAACTTGTATTTTGTGACTTTAATTAGTCGATGATTATGACAATCTTCTTCTGGGCCTCGAGAAAAATATGATGAAAAAGGCCTATTCATGGCTGTAATCACATGCCGAGTGGATTCTGACTAGTAGATTTCCTAGTTAGAAGTTGGAACCCATCAAATGATAGGTTCCATTCAGTTTGTCTCTGCCAGACTACCACTTGTATGGAATTCCCATTCGTAACATAATACAGAGATCTTAGTTTCCTATTCAGAAAGATTATCTTATCCTATTAATATTTTAATGTCTGAAATGATGTATATGATGATCTTAGCTTACATGTTACATCTGCAGATGAGTACTTTCACAATGGTCCATCATACAGCTCCCCACATACCATTTAAATCTTCTGATGAGTGGAATGCTGCTCAATCTCAGCTTAACGGGACAGTTCATTGCAACTATCCTCACTGGTAATGGGCCATTTGCCCTTTTCTTTCTCTTCTTCTTGTTAACTTTTTCCCTTTTTCTCCCCCACCCCCAACCCACACATACACAATTTCTTCCCTTTTTTGTGTGATGAGATGAGAGCGTGTTGTACTAGCTGAAATAAGGAAATGTTCATATTATTTTCAAACTTTGCAGCACAACAAAGCTACAATATATGCTGGTATTAAGCAATCATAAAATGAAATAGCTGAGGGAATAAAAGGAAAAGGAGGAAAAAAGAGAAAATAACTTGAGTGATGTTCAATTAACGAATATATTATCTTTTCCCATTTTCATACTTCTAAATATTTTCATTATCTTTAGTTTTACGTTATTGCTTATCTAGAAATGAGGATAACGGAAAACCCCCGTTGCTGGACAGGATTGAGATACTCTGCCATGATATTAATGTGCACATCCCCCACCATGTATCTCCAAGGATACCAAGCTACAACTTGCGTGCAGCTCACCGATCCATACAGGAGAACTGGGGCAAGGTAAATATGGACTAGTTTCTCATAGTTATTACATTTTGACTTAAATTTTCTTTTTGTAAATCCTTTGCTAAATGGAGACTGAGTTTTTAACCCCCCCCCTCTTTTGCATTTGGTATTCTGCACCACCAACAGTATTTGAATGAAGCAACATGGAATTGGCGGTTAATGAAGACGATAATGACAATGTGCCATGTATACAGTAAGGAGGAAAATTATGTTGCATTTGATGAAATTTCTCCTGAGGAGTCTCAACCGATTACATTCCTCAGAAAAGTGATGCCTGATTATGCCTAACCTTATTGCATGCCTCATGGGGTTCATTATTTTTTCTTCCTTTTTATTACCAATTTATTTTCAGTCAAATTACTTGTTTCCTCTCATATTTGAACAATTGTTCTATTTTGGAAATAAAAATAATTAGGTAGAACGTAGCTATAATCATCCTGAAAATACATTGCTTACCTCTGGTGGTTAAGACTTGAGTACGTACCCATCATGTAAGCAGGCCAACTGCCATCAACTAGTCTGTAATCTGTCTGTGTCCAACAACCAGTTTTTTCCATTTCTTTGTGATGCAACCAAGATGGATAAAAGGATAAGGACTCACTCAATTGATGGACTAAAGTGCAATTTCAGGTCTCATTTGCAGCGATCAGATTCAGTTCTCTGTTCCATTTAGATTATTGAGGTTTTGCTTATAGTGGAGAAAATTGGATATATAAAATACTGAGCTATCAAAAGGGAAAAATTCATGGCAAATTTTATAATAGCATCTCATGCAACTTTTGAGGCGTAGGTGCTGCTAAATTCCATTCATCATTCATGGTTTTCCTTCATTCATACGCTAAGCTGGTCTCTTGGACCATGATGGGACCCGGGCTTTTGCCCACTTTTTCCGGTTAACATGGTGATGCACTGGGCCTTATCATGGTCCTATGGACCGGCTTAGACTGCTCTTTCCCTTCCCCCTTTGCCCTTTCCTAGGGGGTTGTAGTGTTGTACATTCTTGGTCTTGTTAGTTATTTTTCTCTTTTCTTTTGTTTTTTTCGTGGGACCCACTGAGATACATTTTTCTTTCTAGAGGTAACTGAATCAGAGTTTCATTGACTTGGGTATTTGTAATTTTTTAATGAGAAATATCCTGTTCAATTATTCTTTTGGAATTTTTATTTCTCTATTTCCTTTTTCTTTCTGGGTGGGGAGGTGGGTGGTCTGGATGGGTTTGGTATTCCACGAACATTCACTATTGTTGGTTCAAATGGGCTCATGAAATGGTAAAGAAATATTAAGGTTTCCAGATAGGGCCCACTGGGAAAACTGATTAGGTAATCAAGCTCAACTGAAGCAAACTTCCGTAAACTTATTCAGAGCAACTACTTTCATTGTTCCACTCTCAACGAGCCAGCTTGGCCTTGTAACTGCTCCCATGAGAAAAGAATTTTTGTGCAACATTCTTTTCCCCAGCAAAGCTGTTGCGTAATCTTACTCAGACCGGTTTTCAGAAGAGCAAAAGCTACAGACTACAGTAGAGACTAGAGAGAACCAACTTTGAAAAAAGAAAACTGGAAAAGTGGGGGGAGAGAGAGAGATCTGAAAATGAAGGATGGTCTCAATAAATTCAAACTATGCCTATGGTAGCTAAAACAATCAATTTCATTCTTTACCCAAAAAAAAATCAATTCGATTCCTTTCAGCAATTATGAACAATCTCTGTGCAAACTCAAGAATCTAAATTCCCCAGTAGTATGTCAAAATTTTGCACAATCTAAGAGTTCTATAATCTATGAGAAAAATAGAAAACACCCATATGTCAAACGCTTTCATGGAAGAAGGGAGCCGGCGCTGGCGCCTTGTACTGAATCAAAGGATCGGTGGGGGTGGAGTCTCCCATATATCAAACACATTCTCCTCACTGTGAAGAGCAAAAAGCCGATCACCTCCAATTGAGAAATCACAGATGGAACCCCCAAAGCTACATTGGAGCCTAGAGGTCAACACCCAGTCCGGCCCACAAAAGACTGAGACACAATCATTCATGGAGGAGAAGAGTTGGCCGCCGTGCAATGCCAACTTCGGATAGCACGGCTCGTCGGGCATCTTCCCCTTCATCAGCCTGCTCCTTGAGCTCCACCTCACGCTCCCTGCTGTGCTTCTTAGATCCATGAAACCCAAGTCCTCATACTCATTTACCACACAGATGGAGCTAGTCTCCTCCATTGCAATGGCATCACGGACCCGCTTCTCATCCACTGTTACAGGAGCCCCAATGTCTGACCAGGACCAGACTATCCTCCTGTCTCTGAAATCCAACAGGCTGATGTAACAGTTGTCCTTTCTAGGAAACAAGGTTGCAACCAGCAAGCAGTTAGTCCCTTGAAGCCATTGAAGCTTGTCTGCATCACCAATGGACCAACCCGGAGGTTCATAAATGAAATCTATCTGTTTCCCTGTGATTTGGTCCCATACACCAATTCCATACTCGTTGCTCCTGCCTTTGCAACTAGCAAGAATCTTGTAGTCTGGAGTAAAGCTCAAGGCTCCAGCCGTGAAACTCTTGACCTGATTCTCATGGCTCACCTGAAACTTGTACCTCAGCTCGCCTGTGGATGAGCTGAACAGGCCCATTCCACCATCTCCTCTGCCTAACCTCTCGCAGGCACTGACCACTATGTTCTCTGAGTCGATCCACCCAACATCGTTGACTCTCTGATAATCGAGATTAATTGACTGGTGCTCTTCCAGCATCCAGTCGTAGACGTGCACCATGCTGCCGTGGGCAACACAACAGCCACCATCAGGACCTGCCCGGATTGCCGTACCGTCGCCCGGCGCTCGACCCATTATAGACCCTGCCAGCCTCAGCCGGTTCCCATCAAATTGGCCCCATTTAGCAGTTCGAACATGGTCGAGCAGGCCATAGTAGAGAGCTTCTCGGTATAGTAGCTTCTCAGGTATATTGGCAGGAATGTGGAGCTCCCCAGTTCGGAGAAGATCGAGAAGGACGGCGAAGCACGAAGGATTTCGATCGATGAAGTACTCACCGGCCTCGCCAGGTTGCAGGTTCCAATTCTCATCAAACATTGCTCCAAATAGAGAGTTCCGGCCGGCGTTCGCCAGAGTGGTCGCCGTAGTCTCGAAGATCCTACCTCCAACATTAAACCTCACCCTGTCTCTCTGAATTCCCATGGTTTACAGAAAATTTGAGAGACCCAACTGGGTTCCAGCCGCTAATAAAAAGAAGCTAAATCAATGATGTGATCACAAAAAACAGAATTACAGAGAATACAGAGATGTTTATAGAAGGAACTGATAATCAGCCAAAAAGGGGGGAAAGGGTGGGATTCTCTGACATAACAAAATCTAATAATAAAACTCTATGAACTAGGAAAGAAACGTTGGAAGCTTGAAATTGAACAAGAACCCCAAATTAGGAAAACAAATTCAATAGCGTCTAGAAGGATTGAAAATTAATCCCCAAAGGATAGATAGTAGTGATGGAATTAAGCAACAGGAATCGCAACCGATTTTCATGAGAAATACAGAAAAAGAGATGTGAAATTTTCACGTATTGATTGGAACTTGGAAGTCTATGAAACGAATCGTACAGACAACGGAGCAGCACAAGACATCGATGAAATTGCGAGAGAATCATACCGAAATCGAAGGACTACGATCTGGGTTTTATAGAGGGAATAATTTTGGAGATGGGTTTTCATTCTCGAAGGATTTGGTATAGTGGATAGGAAAATTGGAGCGGGTTGGATTTCAAAGTTGACTCCTTTTGATTTCTCTGTCCCCGGTCTCTCTGCTTTTCCTTTTATATTTTATACATTTATTCCTCCGAGTTTGTCCCTGTTCTTCCATCTGGTCTGGACTCTGGACAAGTTTTAAAAACCATTTATTTATTCAAGGGCTACGAAGTCAGCCCTTCTTAACTCCAAACGAAAGCGTGTCTTCTGGGCAATCTGGACTTTCTCTCTTTCTTCTTTGTTTTTTTGGATTTCATTATCAAATGGCACAGGAATAGAGATCGATCAACTTATTAATTAACCCCCCAAATCATCCTAACCATCCATCCAATCTCCTTCTTGATTTTCGATTTGTAGGTGGGTCGTCCACATCTCTTGCAGTGAAGGATGACTTGATCAATGACTTGCCCAAGACCTCTCCAGTGTCCAACTCATATCTGTATATGGCTGACTGTGTCTGTCTTGGATGCTTCAGTTCATCTCTACACTTCAGCAGTTCAACTGAGAATTGCCTTTTTCTTGCCACTTGCTGGCCTGCTGTATGAGACTGAAGATGATGTGGCAAGCATGTAAAGGTCTTGTGTACAAGTTGATATAGGAAATGAAGAGAGTTGTGAATCTCTTTGGTACACAACTGGTCTTTCAGACCTGCCAGACCCTTCAATTATAATATGATATATGTACTATTTAAATGGAATTGATATCTCTGTTTTCTCTTGGGACTCTGATTATCTGTCTTGAGATTTGTATTATATTATAATGTAATCAATGTTATATTATCTCTTGTCATGTGTTAGTTTTATTGATTCAGTAATTAGATATTGTTGGAATCTTCTCTAAAAGTTGGCTCATCCAGTTAAAAATAATAATTGCTATGTTTTCATTCATTCATTTATTCATCGTCATTATCATCATAAAAGATTGATCTTAATAGAAACAACAATTGAGTCACTTGATGCACTAACAAAGCATCAGTCTCAACCAAAATATAGGGTCCGTTTGGTTTGCAATTGAAATCGGAATCGAAATAGTCTATAATCATAGTCTATTTAGCTCAGACAAGAATTGAAATGGGAATTAGAATTAGTAGGAATGAGATTTCATTCCCAAAAGAGAAACATGAAATGACCATTCCCTCAAAGCGGGAATACCATTCCAACAGAAATGGGAATGGAATTTTGATTCTGTCCAACCAAATAGTTGGAATCGGAATAGCCCATTCCAATTCCGATTCCGAACCTCTAATTTCTACAAACGAAACAAGGCCATAATGTGTTGAGAGATATAAGCCCTGGTAAAGTAAAATAAAACCCAAAACCAAAATGAACCAGAATTTTTATTCTACTCATTTGTACTCCCTCTCATGAAATTACATTGCAAACAAACAGAGCCTTGGTGCATTATTTCTTGTTCTCTTAGGCCTAGGGTCCTTCTTTGTTTCAAGGTCATGCTATCCCTTTGCTTATCATTCCAACTCTATTGAATGCATGTATACATATAAATACATTAATTAATAAAAAAGAAAAAAAGTGAAAATGAAAATGAAAATTTAATAATCTATTATTATATTCTAGGGCTTTTGTTAAGCCATAAAATATTGAAGATAAAGCTTACAAAAAGAATTTCAAAATAAATAAAATGATTTATTACTGTTAATTGCTTATGTTACCATTGTTTTATATTGCAAAAACATGGAAGTCCATATCCAAACACACACGCAAGGAAGTCTTTTTCGCTTTATGCAATTAATGTAATCTAAGATACTTGATTAGACATGTAACAACGTAAAGCATTTAATTTAATGGGTTTGTTAGTGTGAGAGAAAGAGAAAGTGGAGACTGAGGTGACACAAAAGAAATTAGCTAAATGGTCAGGGTTTAAGTTGGAAGGAAAAGTTTGAGTAACTGTGTTTGGTAAGAATTCAGATGCATAATTGAAATAAATTTGCACTGTGAGTTAGGCTATGTTTGGGAATGCTTAAAAATAAGTGCTTATTTGGGAAATAAGCCTGAAATAAGGCTTATTTTTAAGTCCAAATTTCCAGTTTTTTAAGTGCTTATACAATAAGCACTTATTCAATGTTTTTTTCCAAAATTATCCATAGTTGAAATTTAAAATACCACTTATAAAATTATGCCTAATTGAATTTTATAAAAGTACTTTTATAAAAGTGCTTTCACAAAAGTGCTTTTATAAAAGTGCTTTCACAAAAGCGCTTTTATAAAAGTGCTTTCATAAAAATACTTTCATAAAAGTGCTTTTGTATTATGAAAGCACTTCTACGAAAGCACTTTCACAAAGTGTTTTTATAAAAGTAATTTAATAAAAGCACTTTCATAAGGGTATTTTTTGAAAATTTGAAAGAAAATGAAGGAAAAAATAGACACAAATGCTTATTTTTAAGTGCTTATTGGAGAAAAATACTACCAAACGTGCCAAATGCAAATAAGTGCTTATTTGAATAAGCACTTCTTTTTAACTTAAGCACTCCCAAACATGGCCTTAATTTTGCTGGCACTTGGTAATAATGTATTTTTATTGGAATTGAAAATAATGTTTTTTTCTTTAACTGCTTTTGCTTTGGGTAAAATACAAAAAACCTCCCCTGAAGTTTTTGACAATCATAAAAACATCCCTTATATTTTCATTTTAACAAATACCTCCCCTGAACTTTTGAGAAGCTCTACAAAAACCTCCCTTCCGTCACCTTCCTATACGGAAACGTTAGACAGATGCACCATTTTTTTTCTAAATGCCCACTCCACTCTTTTATAAATTATTTTATAGACAAAATTATTGAAATAACCTTGTTTTAATTTGACAAAAACATCATTTAATGGTCATCTTCTAACATTTTTGTCGAGTTAAAACAGGGGTATTTCAATAATTCTGTATGTAAAATAAATTATAAAAGGGTAGAATGGGTATCTAGAAAAAAACTAGTGCATCAATCTAACGTTTTCCGTCTGGGAAGGTGATGGAATGGAGATTTTTGTCGAGTTTCTCAAAAGTTCAAGGGAGTTATTTGTTAAAATGAAACTATAGGGGAGATTTTTATGATTGTTAGAAACTTCAGGGGAGGTTTTTGTATTTTTCCCTTTTTGCTTTTTTAATGAAAGCGAAGTTTGCCTCCAAAAAAAATGGAAGCAAACTTTGCATGTTAAGTTATGTAAATAGATTGATTCAGCCTTTGATTCGTGTTTGTACTCTTACAACAAAACAAGACAATGTAAATTTGTGAGTACAAAACCAAACCATGTTTGAACAAATTTACATGAGTGAAATTGTAGCTTTCATGTAAGGTAATAATAGATATGTCACAATAAAGGCCCCGTTCGCTTTTCGATAAGTTAGTTACCTAGGTAAATGAACTTAGTTGGGTAAGTGTTTCCTAGGAAACATTTATCCAGGTAAGTGCATTTACCCATGTTCTTTTATTTTTCAAGTAAATAAGATAATGACCATTCTAGCCATAAAAATTTCATGATCAAAAGGAGCATTTTTGTCCCATCCAAATGTTGGCAATTTTCCCAATATGGGAAAGTTAATTTACCCACCTAGAAAATGGGTATCACGTAAGTGATGCCCAGGGAAATAAACTTTCCCTAATCCCCACATAAATCAGAAAAAAAAAATATGAGTTTCTTGGTCAATAAAATTGTAAATCCCATTGACCAACTTTCCCCCCTCTCAAAATCCCAAAAACGAACGCCCCCTAATGGGTTTCATATTGGTGGGAATGTCTCCATACAATATACCTAACTTTTTTGTCCTCAACATGGTTGAAGACCTTGATTGAATGGCATTCCTTTTTCTATCTACCTGATTTTTCAATATATTGGAGAACGCAAAAATTAAGCACTTAATAGTACAAGGTATGGCCCATTACCACATGGCTCACGCCCAAAAATTAATTTCATGCTTCAAGCTAATTGCCCAATTTTCAAATATTTGTTCTATGTTAAATCAAAATTTTAACCAATCACATTAAATATGCTGCATGATTTATTTACTTTTCATTGATTTACACTTTACACTATACAAGGTGTATTTTCATATTTCACAAGGTGTACTTACCATTGAAGACTATTACATCAAAGATATCATTGTGATGTATCACTGGTTCATTCACATTTGAGTTATATGCAGCAATTTGCATAGAATATACCATAGATATATATGTTGACTTCATTCTAATGCTGAAAATTTATTAAGAAAAAAAAATTGAATCAACAAACAACAAGGTAAATGCTCTAGACACAAGTACCAAGAAACTCTTCATTTGGTGTGTCATAGCCTTTTCATGTTTGCAAATTAAAATCATTGTCAATTATGGGTTTAATATTGGGTAATTGTTTTATTATTTTACAAAGTATGTTATATGATTAACTTTCCTTCATTTTATATGCAACCAAATGCACCGATAAAAGAAGGAAAATGAGAGAAGGACCTCCTAGAGAAAGGGATGTATACTCATTATCTCATGGTCATCACTTGAATAGCCTTTGTGGAATTAGGAAAACGTTAGGGTTTTTGAATGGGGTTACAATGTTTTAAAAACCGACTTAAAGATCAAACCGTTTTTTGCCTCCAGGTAACAGGTCATTGGTTTAACCGTCCAGGTTGAATAGGTTAGACTGTGCCACGTAAACACTCTATATATTTAAGTATATACATAGTTATACAAACACACATATAATATCTTATGAATAAATAATGTATAATTATATTCTGCATGTAATATATATATTATTTTATATTTAATTTATATTTTTCATTCAGCTCTTAATTTTTTATTTGTAAATAAATATTAAAAGTTGCAATTTGAGGCCAAAAACAAGTTTTTTTTTTCACGAAAATAGCAGGCAAGGTGTCTTTGGGATGCATAAATTACCCAAAATAATAAAATCAGCCCAATCAAATATCGAAGCGCAAAGTTATGTCTTTTGAAAGTTTTCATACACATTTAGTATGCAATCCATGACCTCGTCACTAGATCAAATAAGTCAACAGTTTTGATAAATTCCTAGGTTTTATTAGAACCGGACCCAAAATCATGACCAGATAACAATTTAAATAGTTCAACCAGTCGAATCAACAATGAATTGAAAACATTTTGGGGC